AGAGGGGGGATGCCCGTGCTCAGCGCCAAGACTCCGGCCCGCAGGCGGATTCAGGCCCCTGGAAGCCTGCAGGCTACCCCACCCTCGGCCTAGAGCTGCAGGCAGGGGGCCCGGGCCGCGGTGGGGGGCCCCGGGGCTTTGCATTTGTTTGAGCGCCAAAACCCAGGCTTCGAGGCGCGGCCTGGCTCGCGTTTATCTTTTCCAGACAGCCCGTAGGTCAACCGGGTCTTCGGCAAGCAGCAGCCCCACATCCTGCGGGCAGGATCTTAAAAACAACAACAACCCCGAAACCCTGCTTTTCCCACGCGCAGCTACAACCCTCTGGAGCCGCTGCAGCTCGGGGCTCTAGAGTGACCGCAGACCGTCCTCCTGTGTTACCGCGCGGGGTGGTGGCTTCTACAGAGCTTGGACCCGGCAGCGTGAGGTCCCTCCTCCCTCTGGGAGGGCTCAGCTCGGCCTCCCCGCAGGGATCCTCCTGTTTCCGGAGCCGGGGTCCGATCCTTGACCGCACTTGCGGTCCCAAAGCCGCAGTTTTGCCCCTCGCACAGAAATGCGTTCTCTTTCATTTGCGGGCTTAATAAACAATGTAACCATACCACATAGGGCCCCGCGCAGTCCCTCTGAAAGCAATTCCGCTGTTGAAAACTGAAAAATGGGTGTAATTTGCGTTCAGAAAGTGAGACTAGGGTCACGGCAATTTCCCGGGCCGTTATTTATTTTTACTTTAAAGTCTTTAGGGAAGATTTGCTTATATATTCGGAAACCTTCCAATGCGAGGGTACCAGCCACCCCGCTCTCCTTCAGCGTGTGGGGGGAGGGGGTGTGGAGAACAATTACCGAGTGACGCTAATATGGGGAAACTGAAAAGAAATGTCGATTGTTTTTATTGTAACAGAAGGAGTGAGCAAACAGAAAAACCAACCCCGAGTGATCCGAAACAGGCAGGCGGAGAATTAAAAGCGGGTTTCAGGCGGCAGCAGGCCCCTCCCCTGCCCTCGGAAGGAGAGAGCGGGTGAGGAGAGCTCGCAGCCCCCGGGCCTCTCCCACGGCCCGCAGCAGGATTTCTGCGCGCTGGGACGGCTTGGTGGGCGGCTGCCTTGGGGGAAAGGGTCTTTTACCGTGAGCATCGCCGGCTGGAAGGCGGAGAGGCCCCGGGGAGGTCCCAGCGACTCTGGGAGAATCTTCCGGGCTCCTCTTGGGGGGACCCCTGCGGCCTTTACCTGGGCAGGCGAGTCCGGTCCCGTCCGCAACCCGGCCAAGTCCAGGCCCGCAGGTCAGTGTGCCGCCACCACCACCCCTTCCGGCCTGGCTGGGGGTGAGGGCCCCAGAGGGCTGTCTCTCCCTCACCCTTAGCCCTTCCATCTATCCGCCGCCCCTGCCCCTGCCCGCGGCTCCAAGTGCAGATCCGCCCGGCTTCAGCTCAGGATGGACCCTCGTCGCCTTGGGGACCGGGTGCGCTGCCGGCTGCCACTGGCGGCAGCAGTCGCTAGAAGGTCAAGATGGGGGAGGAGCGGCCGCTGACCGTGCGAGGCCCGGACCTAGCAGTAGGCGGATCGGGATTGAAACCCACGGCCCAGGCGTTGGCAACACAGTTTGGAGAGGAATGGAGACATCGGCTCTCTCTCTCTCTCTCTCTCTCTCTCTCTCTCCCTCCCTCCCTCCCTACGCCTTGCGCAATCCTTGACCTACCCTAGAAGACGCGCTCCCTTGGGGGAACCGGATGCGAGATCTGGCCTCCACCGCATCCCCCGCCGACAGCTAAAAGCACTGAGCTTTTCCCTGTGCTCCGCAAACCCACCCTGGAGCTCAGATTCCGGCTGCCCCAGATCCCTGCAGCTCCCGTCGCCCGGGCCTCACCCCGGGGTCCTGTTTGTTCCTGGCTGGGGGGCAGCTGGAGGAATCTGTTCCTTAACCTTCTTCTCTGCCAACTCTGCTCTTCCTAAGTGCACCTGGGAACAGGACCCCTCTCCAGCGCAAACACACGCCCCTCTAGCTATTCCCACTCCTCCCTCCCGGTCCTCGCTGACCCGCAGACCCCGGCGGAGCAGCCCAGGGCGTTCGTCACTCAGGATTGCAGAGCTGGGGGAGGGCTCCGGGCGAGCTGCACAGCCTCTAGCGCCCGGGTCTGACCTCGGAAGAAGGTTCTAGATTCCAGTCCGCTTTCCGCATCTTTCCTCAGACACCTCTAGGGCGGGGAGGTGGTAGTGGAGGCGGGGAG